CCCGGACTGTTAGAAAGCTGTTTAGGAGGATACTAGAATAAACCAGAGACTCCAGTTTTCAGCATGGACTGAGAGCCCTCCTGAAATGACAAGAAGCCTGTGTCTGGTCTTTGTCGCCCCTGAGTAGCTAGGAGTTTCCAGGTCCATACACCCTGACTCAGGGATGGACCCATGGCTGTTCGGATGGCTCCAATCACAGTCCATAAGGACATCAGTCTGGAATAGATAGTCTCTGTAGCATGGGACTGATACAAGCTGGGTCACGACACACATACAACTTTATTGAACTACTGAATGATTCCAATGAAATAGGTACATTTATATTGTTAGCATTGTGTACGGTACATAGTGTGTGCTGGATAAAAACTAAGGATGATGAGAAAACCAGGAGGAGGAGATGAAGAAAAGGATTGTCAAATTCTTGAAGATGTTTACTTTTAGCAAGATTGCAGATAAAAGAGGCGACAGCCCATGAAGAATTAAAAGCAGCAATCAGAACTGGAGGAAATGGAAAGTATATTGTCTCACCATGTCAGCCTCTGTGGTTTTTCCCATCATCTAACTTGGAAATAGTGATGGACATAGAACCCAAATACTAAATACTATTTATGTTTGACCATTGTACAGTATCAGCTACTAAGGTTCTGAAAGAGGGTATGTTTAAGGACTTCTGGGTGTTGAAGTAGAGGGGTGGTTTCAGGCATAATATGCCCCCATAGGTCATCTGATGCAAAGAGATCAAGTAAGATGATTAGGCAAAAACAGCCAATGCATTGAATATGCCAAATTCATTGTTGAAATTAAAAAGAAAAACTTCAATGGGTTATAATGACAGATACCAGGAAATAGTAGGTTTATGGGTAGTTAGGTGAATGTAACATAGGTATATACATGGTGCAGGCCACTGTAGATGCTGAGACAGAGGAGAGTGAAGGAAAGGGGAGGGGGAGTTGAACAAAGTAGCAATGAGGCAATCATTCAGAGTTGGATTCCAAGGGTTCAGAAACACATCTGCAAATGGAGATTATTCTCTGAGACAAAATAATTAAGAATGTGTGGAAAGGAAATTTGGAGCAAGAGTGTACATAATATGGAGATCAACCTGGGCAACAGTGGGGGGTTCTGGTCCCATTATCTAAACCACGTGATAAGAAACTGTGTTAGAACTGGGGGGGGGGTGCATGCCTTTAATCCCAGCACTCAGGAGACAGAGGCAGGTTGGATCTCTGTGAGTTTGAGACCAGTCTGGTCTACAAGAGCTAGTTCCAGGACAGCCTCCAAAAGCCACAGAGAAACCCTGTCTTAAAAAACAAAACAAAAAACAAAAAACAAAAAAAAAGAAAAAAAGAAAGAAAGAAAGGAAACTGTGCTAGGAAAGACTAACAGGTTGTAGATGCCTTCAGGACAAACTGTTTATTCCAGGAATGAGGAATCTTGAGTGTCTAGGCAGGCCTTCTCTGAAAATGTTCTTTGTTCATGTATCAATGGCCTCTGACATCCACTATGGCTTCTGTACTCCAGACTCCATCAGCAGGGCCTTTTCCTTCCACTGTTGCAAGAAACCCAGTGCATAAACAGCTGACTGCAGAGTGGATCTGGGGCTTGGTGCCACTTTATCTGCTCCCAGAATTTTGAATCATATGTGCTCTATCTCTTTTTCTGCCTTTTTGTTCTGATCACAAGTCCTGACCATCCAGTGAATAAACAAGGAGAACCGATTTTTAGAACCCTGTTCATGTCCTTTTCATCTTTTCTCAAAATCATGCCCTATGAATGAACTGTTCCCTTACTATACACAGAAATCAAGTTATCTAATTAAACAAAAACCTGCATCAATTCAGTGGGCACTGTTTTCTTTTTCCTGATAGAAACAAACTCAAGTGTGCATAGGAGCTAAATTTTGCCTTTGCCCAGATCTTGCAAGATTTTTCACCCATGGGCGTTCTCTACAGTAATGTGATTTCTCCTTTTATCTCTGTACTTAGTGTTCACTGCCTTAAGGCTTGACCTCTGAACCACACAGTCTTCAGACTCCATCCTCTGTAGTCCTTGGAGGCCCTGTTCTTCCATGCAGTCTTTATTTCCTTTTTACTTCCTGTAGAGCTTGTTTAAGCAACCTCAGCTAAGCATAATGGTTTCAGGAAAGATGGCATGGAGGGCAATTTGAAGGATTTGGACCCATGAGCTGATAGGAGATCAATAGGAGTTCTCTGGGGACTTTGTGACCAAAGTGAATGTGGGTTCATTTTGTTAGACGATATCCTCTCTTCCAAAGCCAAGCAGAATGCGCAACTGCTTGTGTCAGAGTTAAGATGTACAGAAATTCGATAGTCTTTACCTTAAGCATAATCCCAGCCCTAGAGATATCAAGGAACTTGTATTGATGAAGTCTCAACAGCATGGCTGCCAGACAGGATCTGAAGAAGGACAACAGCCACGCACATGCTAATGGGGAAGGGAAAATCTCATGGGGCTCCAACCCTAGACCAGAGGGCAGGGTGGTGCTTTGTGATTTATTAAAGCTTGCCTGAGGATTGAGAAAGCAAAGCCAGCCTCAGGCTATAGAGATCAGGTGGTGGTAGCACACACTTTTAATCCTACCACTTGGGAGGTAGAGGTAGATGAATCTCTGTTACTTCAAAGTCAACATATTGCCACAGGGCAGAATTTTCAAGACCCAGTGAATGCTTCTAGGTTGAGTTGAACACCCCATGGTGGTCAAGCTCGATCCAACAGTCATTGGGTAGCATTACTTGAAGGTAGATTATGTAAACAAAAGGACTTTTAAAGATTCATTAGCTAAATTGTACACACTTTTCCAGGCCCTCTCTTCTGTCTTCATGCAAGGAATTATTGGTAGGATGATACTTTCAAATAACTGAAATCTTAGTCCTAGTTTCCCCATACCATGCTGTTAACTAAATCAAATGGAAACTTGAACCAAATCTTGGTTAGTATTCGTTGTTTCCCCAACTGCTTCTGTGCTTCCAACCTCTGCAGTCTTCCTTCTGTGACAAATCATGCCTGTGTGACTTCCTGCACTATTGAATCTGTCATAACTTGATTCCCATGGCTCAGGATGAGCCAGAGATCCTTCGTGCTAATTATTTTATCCCTGCTTTGGACACTCTGCCCTTACCTTCTCTGGCTCTCTTCTCCTGATACAGTGTATGGGGTAGAATAGATACAGAAGGAAATCAGTGTTTAAAATTCAGTGGTGTTTAAGCCCTAGGACCCTCAGTGCTCAATCCTATATGCAAGTTGCAAAAACTCTGAAAGCCTTGGTTTGAAAATGACATGGGTCATTAGTACATTAGTGGCCTGGTAGTGTCACACAGTTCAGTTACCCAGTGTGAAACAAAGTCTATGCTTTCCCTAATCTTCTTGTGCTATTGAGAGGTAGCTTTCTGAATTTGCTTTGAAGGGGGAGAGGACAGAATCTCCTAAAGCTGAAGTCACAGCTGAGATGCTATTGAGAGGTACATGGCCACAGGAATACACAAAGCAGAACAAACAGAATTTGCAAGGTGATTAACAAGAAAAAGTGACCATTACTCCTAATGAACCTCTTCTGAGACGTTGATGCAATAGAAAGGCTCTCGGCCTGCAAAGGCACATGTCACAGCCAAAGGTTCACATGTGGAATCTGTTCTCCACATGGAAAAGTGAGCCATCTCCCGTGATAGGCTGGCTCAGTGACACAAGGCTGGGATCTGGTCATCCTCTGACACCCAGACCAGTCAAGACTACTGAGCCAACACCCAGCAGCCAACACCTGCTCCACACTCATCAACTTCCTCAATTTCAAAATTGTTCCTAATGTCTCTAACCGCAGATACAAGATGATTTTAAAACCAGTGTCTATACTCCAAAGTATTCCTGTATCTGCAGATCTGAACCCACTCTTCATCATGAGCCACTATTTTTTTACATTTATGTAGCCCTGTGCTTGCATAAGTGCCATTCTCACTTGTCAGCACCCATGCTGTATTTGAATGTCTGTTCACAGGCTCAATCCCACTTTGAGCACTTGGACTAGTCTGAACCCATAGGAATTTGTTTAATATCTTTCTAGGTATCCCAGTATTTTGAGTCCCTTCCATCCCAGAACTAACACACCCAGAACATTAGATCCATTGTAGTTACACTGACACCTTGCAACAGCTACCTCTGTGGGATGACTTGGTCTCCTGACTGAATAGACTATCAATGGATGTAATAGAGTAATTAGATTCCTCAACATTTAAATGGATTAGTCAAGAGATTTGCTACTCCAGCTACTGAATTTATACATAGTAGAATTAACGGAACCTTGGCCTTCTTTAAAAGCTCATAGGTCAAGAACACCTAGAGGTCTTCAGTGTTGTCTTTGTAAGTCTCTCTGGTATAGAGAGAAGATGAATACATATCACTATGGCACTCTCTCTGATAAACTGAAACACCTTCACTCATGAATCTAGTTTTCAGACAATGGTAAAGTATGAGACAGGTGTCATTCAAACTAGAGTACTCCCATAGCAAAAGTTTTTCAATATGGCCCAAGTTTCTTTTTATCTTTACTACCTAAAATCTAGTTCTGTTTCTCAATTCTGGATATGTCCTCGGAAGGCTCTCAGGTCTCTGCTAGGCTACAGAAAGCAGATTACATTCAAAGGCAATTAAGCCGGAGGCTGCACGTCCTGGGGCTACCCCTAAAAAGAACTACTTTGTCCATACCAGTTCTATCTGTACCCACAGCCCGAAATTGATCTGGAAATGTGCCCAGGGCCTGGAGGACCTCAAAAAAGTCCCATCAAGCTTGGCTACACCCATCAGGTTTGTAAGCTCCTGGCTGAGTGGGTGTGTTCTTTGTGGTGAGAGACACTGGAAAGACACGTCAGGAAATATGTTATATTGTCATCACTACGACATTACAAGAATTACAATCATAGCTTACCTAGTTATATAGGTGGACAAGCACACCTTTTGGCCCAGTCTCGGCTTGTTGGAAGCAGTCAGCTATGAGGCTCCATTATCTGCTATTTGCATTCCTCATCTTGTTCTTGGTACCTGCTCCAGGTAAGATGGGTTGGGAAATAAGGGGTGGAAAGGGTTGAGAACATGTAATTTAGTCAGCCCTTCTCTGTTTGCGGTGAACCTGAGATTAGGTGGATTTGATGAGTGGAAACCAAACATTGCCAGTGTTTCCTTCTGACAACAATCATTAACAGCACTAAAGCAGGCTCTCGGGTCTGTCCTGTTCCACTCTTAAGAGATTAAATAGTGCCACAGATGCCAACTTTCCACCCACCTCATCACTGGAATACTAGAATGAGACATGAGAAAGTTGATATGATATTTTAATTCTGATGGAAATGAACTATTTCATCTGATACCCAAACCCACAGATATCTTTTCTAAGTGGGCTAAGTGGCTGGAGGGAGAGAGGTACAATGGGATGCTTGAAAGGTACTAGGAAAACAATGGCCCCAAGTCCAAGTTCTTATGGTAGGGCTCAGAGACCAGGCTGCTGTGAGCTCACAGCTGAGATGCAGCCCCTAGAAGACTTTGTTTCCTGCCTAGACATCCCTTCATTTTACTTTTGATTTTATAGGAAAAGAGAAAAGAAACAGAAGTGAAAAAATGCCGTTTGCTGGACCCAATGTCTTTTTAACACCTTTTCTAAAATAGTCTTGATTTTTTCCCCTTGTAGGGAATGCATTCATCCAGAGAACCATCCAGAAATTATTCTGCAGACTACGAGGTGGCCGGTGTGCTTTGTTTAGCTGCCTTGCAAGGGAAGAACAAATAGGTCAATGTTCTAGTAGAGGTCGGAAATGCTGCCGGACGAAGAAGAAATAGAAGATCCAGATTCAGGATGAGACTGCCGCCATTTGGCCATTTGGGGGCAGTCCTCTCAGGGGCGTGTAACAGTAGAATGAAAGTAATATATATTTTTTTAAAGAAAATCAGTAGCTTAATCTTTTTTGTTAAACATATTGGCCATCGAATTCATAAACAAATACAAAACTAAGAAAATCAACAGACGCAGTTTGATTTGAATGAAGCAGCACATCTACAGAGGTCTACATGATACTTAAGCTCATTTTCCAAGGGCCAAGGGCTTGATTAGGTGTATGTGTATTTGTGTGTGTGTGTGTGTGTGTGTGTGTGTGTGTGTGTGTATAAACATGTATATAAATGCCAGAGGGTGGTGGCACACGCCTTTAATCCCAGCACTCGGGAGGCAAACAAAGGCGGATCTCTGTGAGTTTGAGGCCAGCCTGATCTACAGAGCGAGTGCCAGGACAGCCTCCAAAAGCCACAGAGAAACCCTGTCTCAAAAAAACAATAAATGAATAAATAATGAAAAATAAATAGCATGTATATAAACATGTGTATTTGTGAAATGTACATATACATACAGACAGACTTTTCTTTTTTAGTTAATTTTTATTTGAATTAAAAACAATCTTCTTTTACATACCAATCCCAGTTACCTCCATTTCCCCTTCCCATCTTCCCATCCCATCCCCCATCCACTCCTCAGGGAGGATGAGGCCTCCCTTGGGGAAATCATCAAAGTCCAGACTGACATTTTATATTTTGTGTATTCTATAACTTCATTGGAAATGGAGTTGTTGTCTTTTGAAATACCCCTTTGTGTCTTACTGTAGATATCTTGATCTTTCCAGCCCTCTTCATAGGATCCCATTTTCCCAAATCTAAAACATCAGTTCACCCCAGAAGTCAACCTTAAGCCCTTATGAAAAATTTGCCCAGAGAAACAGGGACCTGGCCCTCTTCCTGTTCTCTTCTTTCCCACTGCTCTGGCCTTTGCTCTGCTGCTTCCTGCCTGGTATACACTCCACCCACCCATTTCTCACCCTAACGTATCCCTCAGGGGCTGTCCCATGATCTCTTCTTCCTAAAAACAGTAAGCTTCCCAAATGGGCAACTTTCTTTAGATGTGAAGCTCTGACCTGAGTCCTCTATCTACGACTCTTGCTTCGTTTTTGACTTGTGGACATTCACACATTGCTACTCTCCACATTTGGTTGCATGATTCATAACAGTATAGTTCTTGTCTCCATATCTGGATGCTTAGACTGGTTGACAAGTGTCCTTGAGTTGAAGGACATCCACATATCTTAGAAGTGTTTTCATTTTAGTTGGTGCTTTCTAGAAGTTCATACTGAGTGACCCCAGTTAGTGGTCTTCCCTGGCAGCACTAGTCTGAGGGGTACACAGATGAGATAATCAGTCCCTCAGGTTAGGGTGGAAGAACCATCCTGCCGCACAGTTTATAGCATTCATCTTCCATCAAAAGTATAATGGGAAAGGCTGTTTCCAGACACTAAACAACAACCAGTGTAGATCTGAGAGAGAGAGAGAGAAAGAGAGAGGTGGGGAAAGGGAGGGAGGAAGGGAGGTAAGGAAGGAGGGAGGAAGGTAAGGAGGGAGAGAGGGAGAGAGGGAGGGAGGGAGAGAGGGAGAGAAGGAAGATGGCAAGTTCATGAATACAACACTTACTACATAGGCAGTTTCTAAGCCAAGGCACAGGGAGGCCAATTCACAGGACCAGCAGGCAATGTTGCAGCTTCAAGTCATTGAAACATCTATTCAGATAGAACAACTCACCCCCATTTGCCTTCAGAGGTTGGGAAAGGAGGACAGGCCCTCAAATGGAGACAGTGCTTGAGAGCTATACCAGAGGGTGGGGAGGGGACATCAGTCCTAGGGTGATTAATGGACACTTGGGACAAAATATCACATGGCCAGAGGAAAATGAAAACATCAGAAGGGAACAGTGTGGATATTTCAGGAATTCACGGATCTAGAAAATGCATTTCCAACAGCAAAGTGGAGGTCGTTCCACCTTCATAAAGTAGCCTGGTGACACTGGTGAGTCCTTTCTGAAAATTTCTGTAGCTCGCTTGCAAGGTTTCAAACACCTGAGACAAACCTAAATCTGGGCCAGAATAAAGTCCAACTTTCCTTTAAAGATGATGGTCAAATTTGTTCCCACATGCTAGATGCCATAGAAATGACCAACTAGGCAGAGAAGGATACAATCCACTATCAGAAGAAAGGTCATTGTGAGGAAAACTCATCCCTGGGGATGAGTTGGGGGATTGGTTGGGGGGGTTGAGGGGGAACTTGGGAGGATGGGAGGGCAAGGGAATGGCGGGGATGGATATGTAAATATGAGTAGTAATTAAAGGATAAAATAAATAAATAAGATGCTTTGCAATTTGTTCACCATAACTTTCATGATGATAAAAAAAAAAGAAGAAGAAAGGCCATGCCGTAAGATGAACCCAGTGAAGTTGAGGATAGTAGAATTAGCCAGCAAAGGTACAAAAAGAGTCGGTGTAAGCATGCCCAATGCCCAGGGTAAAACTGTTCACGAGGAAAGGAATGGAGTATATAAAGGATCAAACGGGACTTCCAGAGATGAACAGCAGATATCTGAATAAAAATACACTGAATTTTGGCAGATGTGGCTCATTTGGTAGGGTGTGTACCTAGCTTGCTTGATGCCTGGGGTTTGACTCCCCAGCACTGCATAAAAACTTAGCTCATGATTGGAAACCTAGCATTTGGGAAGTGATGGCATGAGGATCCAAAGATAAAGGTCATCCTTGGCACCATATCAAAGCTTGAAGTCAGCATGGTTTATGAGCCATCTCAGGTTTGTACATGCTTCCTCCAGCAGGTAGGGAAGTGATGAAGCTTGTACATCTTTAGGGCACTTGAACGAAGGCTCCCCATAAGGTAGCAGTAGCCTGCAATCTCATTTCTAGCAAGTTCAGCTCTGCTCTTCCTACAAGAGGACTGGAGAGGTTGATGGCAGTGCCAAATCAGACAGGCATTTGTTGAGTACCTTCTGGCTCAACAGTGCTGTAGAAAAACCAAGGGGGTAAAGTTATCAGGACATCTTGGTTATTGGGTAGGGGATGAGCAGCAAAGACTTTGAAGACAAGCTGGTTTTGTTTTCTAGTGACAACACTTAGCTAAGTGACATTGTATCTCTTAACTTTTACTGGTCCTGGGGTTTTCATATATGGAATTGAGTCATTTCTCCTGGCAGGTTTGTGAATGAGGATTAAATGAGATGACTGATAATCATGTGATCAAAAGAGATCCAGCTATACATTTACAAGGCTCGGTGATGAACAAAAATGCAGGGATCAATGCAAAGTCCAGGGAAGAGAAGCTGTGTTGAGTACAAGAAGACAAAAGGTTTTCTTCCTTAATAACACTTTATAATTTGTAAAATGGAGTAAGAATAAAACTATAAGGGACTAATTGCACAGACTTATAAATGGTAAAGGACTATTCTAGTTGTTACCAATTTTGGAAAACAATAATTTACTAGTGAAATATATTGATTGTTCCATTTTTCCAGACAACATTTTTAGAACTAGCTTTCTTAGATCATTTACACATACTTTGAGTGATTTAATTACATTTTTGACGATGACATCCTGGCACTCTGGCTCTTTCAATCTTTTCTACCCATTCTTCAGTGGCGTTACCTGAGCTTTAGGTGTAGGAGGTGTGTTGCAGATGTATTAGTTTGTTATACAAAAGTGGGACATGTATTTTGAAAATGGTGATTTTTTACAAAGATTCTAACATTTAATTATTTAAATGTCTGTTTCATGTAGGTTTTAATTTAATTTTACTCATTTTAAGATTTATTTTCTTTTTTAATTTAAATTAGAAACAAGCTTCTTTCACATGTCCATCTCAGTTCCCTCTCTCTCCCCTCCTCCCCTGCCCCCCACTGATCCCCTATCCCATCCCATTTCTGCTTCCCAGGGAGGGTGAGGCCTTCCGTGGGGGGATCTTCAAAGTCTGTCATATCATTTGCAGCAGGGCTTAGACACTCTCCAGTGTGTCTAGGCTGAGAGGGTATCCCTCTATGTGGAGAGTGCTCCCAATGTCCATTCTTATACTAGGGATAAATACTGATCCATTACCAGAGGCCCCATAGATTGTCCAGACCTCCAAACTGACCCCCTCATTCAGAGGGTCTGGAACAGTCCTATGCTGGTTTCCCAGCTATCAGTCTGGGGTCCATGAGCAACCCCTTGTTCAGGTCAGCTGTTTCTGTGGGTTTCTCCAGCCTGGTCTTGACCCCTTTGCTCATCACTTCTCCCTCTCTACAACTGGATTGCAGAGTTCAGTTCAGTGTTTAGCTGTGGGTGTCTGCTTTTGTTTCCATCAGGTACTAGAGGAAGACCCTAGGATGGCATATAAGGTAGTCACAAATCTCATTATCAGAGAAGGGCATTTAAGGTAGCCTCTCGACTATTGCTTAGATTGTTATTTAGGGTCAACCTCGTTGATTTATTTTCTATGTGAGTGTTTTGCCTGCATGTCTGTCTATGCATCATGTGCTCATGGAGGTCAGAGGAGTGGGTGGGATCTACTGGAACTAGAGTTATGGAGGGTTGTAAGTCACTATATTGTGCTGGGAGCCAAACCTGGATCTTCTACAAGAGCATTATGTGGTCTTAAACACTGAGCCATCTCTTCAGCTCCTGAATTTAGCTTTAAGTGGAAATGCATACACAACATTGTTGTTAATGCATTGTTGTTAATTAACAACATTGTTGTTAATAACAATGGAGTTTTTAACATCTCTGCTCAGGTTTTGTGAAGGTAAGGTGGTGAACCCAGTTCCATGCCTTATGGTTTATACTGCACTCTGTTGCTGCATTCAATTGCTGAATCTTCACTGTCAAGGAAAAGTAAAAGTTAAAATTTTCTTTCTTGGTTTTTTGTTTTGTTTTTCAAGACAAGTTTCTTTGTGTGTATCCCTGGCTGTCCTGCAACTCACTCTGTAGACCAGGCTGACCTCAAACTCACAGAGATCAGCTTGCCTCTGCCTCTGGGAGTGCTGGAATTAAAGTCATGCACTACCAACTGCCATCTTTGTAGTGAACGATGGATTTATGTGAAGCTTCATATGGAAATGGCATTATATTCTGTTGAACTTGACGCCATACATTTAATCCCAATTTCTGAGGTAGGGCTAAGCCTTTGAAGTTTGTAAGCTCCTCCTGTAAGAGCTTTAAGTGCTCTACTGCCTTTTTACATGGTCATATCTGCTTTGAGGTCTCTCCTTGACTGTTGCTGGGACCCTTGAAGTTCAGCCCAGAATTCAAGTCAAAATTAACATTTGTTTACATATCCTAGGACATATCCATTGATGGACAAATGAACTTTCCAAGGTTGGCCCACATGGAGACCATACTTTCTCTCCAGGTCTGGGGTCACAGCTGCCACCACCATTACTGAGATCCCTAGGCTTCTCCTGAGATGCTCAGGATGTCTGGGTCAACCTTGCCCTCTGGGCCTGAGTCTGTGTACTCTGTCTCAAGAAATGCCCAGTCTTCCAAGTGCTTGCTCTATTTTCTTATTGCACTTTACTTATAAAATGTTAAGTTAAAAGAAAAGAAAAGGTTAAGATGATGACAATAGAGTATGACACCAAGCACCACCCACCTTCTGAGTTCGGGCCCAGTGTGACATCCCACAACATTCAAAACCTGAATTCTGCCCCACCTCTACCCTATCCAGGAGCAAGAGGAAGATTAAAAACTATGTTTTAAAAGAAACACTGAAACCATAATGCTGAAGTCATATTTTCCAGAAATCACAATCATGAAAGGCTTTGTTTTTGAAAGCCCATCAGTAGGGTTTCCCTTTGCCTGGGTGACTGGGCTACTCCCCATGGAGGCAAACTATTTGCCTTCTCCAGGTGTATATGAGAGGTGTGGGATATGGTCTTTATCTCTCCTTAAAAGAGAAGGGCCATGAGTCTACCCTCCCCCAGTTCCCAGCTTTGTCAGTTACTATTGTACCCATAGCCTGAAGCTCTTATGAAACTAAAACTCATCTAGGTTTACACCTGAACTCACTCCAAAAGCTACACAACCTCATCTCCAGGTTGTGGTGAGGGGCCCTTGTTTATGATAGTGTGTGGTCTTCTAGTGGTGTGTGATCCTTTAGGCTGAGGCAGAATTGTAATTTTCTGAGGGGGAAGATCCTTTCTGGAGGTCTCTTTCAAGCATACTTAATAGGATGAACACAGCCACAAGAAGTCTCGGTGGCCCATGCCAAGAAGTGTAAGCTGTAGTCACTAGAATTTTTGATGGGACACTCAGGCCACTGTCCTCAACATGCAGGCTGATGTCATCATTTCTTTGAGGTATTTGTCCTCAAAGGAGGTGGGGAAAGTTAATGCCCCTCCTTCTCTCCCTCCCTCTTTGTCTCTCTGTCTCTCTCTCTGTCTCTCTCTCTGTCTCTCTCTCTGTCTCTCTCTCTCTTTTTCCCTCTCTCTTTCCCTCTCTCTCTCTTTTCTGTCTGTGTGTGTGTGTGTGTGTGTGTGTGTGTGTGTGTGTGTGTTTCAGATCATCTTTGTTTCCTTTTTATCAAGGCCTCCCTCATTCATTGAGTTCAGAACAGGACAGACATGGTCCAGGAAAGTGCTGCTGGCTGCTCCCTGGGATTGCAATAGGGCTTTATGGGAAGTTCACACTTGTATGGGTGGATCTTTAAATAACAGCACATTGCTTTACTAACAATTGGAAGCAGATGAGTCATCAGGAAAGGATGAGTTAGAGTTAAGGCTCAGCACACTAATATGGGAACCACTAACTTCGTTCAATTCTAAGCCCAGTAAAGCATCACCCCTACATTATAACAATTAAGATTGCTTTCTCAAAAGCAAAACAAAACAGAAGTCTACAAATAAATAGCCATGTAACCTAATTCAAAGTGAGTGTTTAGAGTTAAAATGATCCAGGGGGAAAAATCAGTAGCTATTGAGAACCAAGTTGTGAAAATGAGAGGTTTATGATACTAAATTATATTAAGTAGTACTTCTTTGTGTGTATAAATAGAAATATATAATGATGTAATTAGGAAAAAGTTTAATGAATGAGATAATCAGGAAAGAGTTTAGTGAAGTTCTGTAATTCAGGACTTTAAATTTTTTTTCATGATACTAGGGAGTGAACCATGAGCCTAGTGTGTCAGTCAAGAGTTTTTTAAGCCAAAGTTCTTCCACAACTCCTTTTGCTCCACTCATGTTTGAGACATGGTTTCTCTAAGCTGTTCCAGCTTCCTTCAATGTAATTATGTAGCCCTAATGGGCTTTGAATTTATGGCCCTCCTGCCTCAGCCTCCTGAGTAGATGGGGTTACATGTGTGGGATTATGGCTATTCATGGCCATACATGGCTTGACTGAGATCCTAAATGTCCACCAAAAGTCATGTGTTAAAGTTTGAGTTAGTCTGAGGCTCCCCTGGGAGATGGTGTGTCCTTTAAAAAGTGGGCCTACTAGAAGAGAACTAGGTATTTGGACACACAGTAGCAATGAGTATGGGCACTTCAAATCCCCCCTTCTGCTTTCTGGTTGCCAGGAGGTGAGCAACTTTACCTCACTACATGCTCCTTGCTATGATGTCTTGGCTCATGAAAGACCACAAAACAGTGGAACCAACTGACCATGGACTCAATCTCTGAGCCTTGAGTCAAAATAACATTTCTTCCATCAAAGTTGATTTGTCAAAAGTATTTTGCCACATTGATAGTAAACAATTATGTTTAACTTTTACTGTTATATGTAAGAGAACTAAGGCAAATAGAGAGGAGTTAAGTGTTAATTCAGCCTGCACATTTACAGATAACAGCTTTTGTATGTGCTTTCTTGGCCTGGAAGAAATACTCTTAGTATTGGGGACGAGTTAACATGTTTTTCAATACAAGTCTGCATGCCTCACGAAGGGAAGCAAAGTCCCAACAGGGAGTGTGATGTCACATGGCTATCCTCCAGTCCCAGATAGGAATTTATTTATTATTTGTAATAGCATCCTAACCCAGCCCTGTGATTCCCTGATCCATCAGAAACTTCCTTCTTTGAACCAAACCATCATTATAGATCAATCACCAGCTACCTTTAAGAACACCTCTAATGACAAAGTAGGTTAATAACAACCAGAGAAAGACTGGGATGAGCCTTAGTGTTCTCTTTTTTTTTTTAAGATAGGAGAATTAAGTCCTGGTTTCCACTGTATCTTTTGTATAGCAGTATCACTGGAGCTAATGAGCTACCGAATGTTTCAAAAAAGCTACAAGAGGGAATTGAGGCTACTCGATATAGTAAAATTACGCAATTTGAAGTGATGGACATGCTAATTATCCTGACTTGATCATTGCACACTGTAAGCAGTACTCCACAACTATGCATACTTACTGTGACATGTACACAAGTACTCCACAAGTATGCATATATTTTGTGTATGATTTTTAAAAATCTCTACTGAACGCCAATTTAAAAATATTCCTACCAAGCCCAAAACCATGGGTTTTGAAATCATGTAAGTGGTTGGAGTGAAGCAGTCAAGTGTGTGTCTAAACTCTTCATTCTCCAGTTTCAAATCTCCTTGCTGGAAACTCCACAACAGCTTTTGTCGAAACTGCCCTTAAATGATGAATTTCTGCCCAACTGCTTGTTTGTTTAAACTCCCTGTAGAGAGGAAGAAATCATGATTGATGGAACCTCTTTTCCCTTAGAAAATCTCCATCTCTCTGTCCTTGGCATGGGTTATGTCCTGATCACTGTCAATAGTTTTCTAGGTTAAAAATGAGCAACCAGGTTAAGGAAGACACACGAGATCTCACTCAGCCCCGAGCCCCATGGCCTCCCTCAGAACCAAGACCAGGGAAGTGGTGGGAAGGACTGGAGTCTGCTGTCATAGATTCTCATATGAAAATACAAAACCCAGCCTGACTCCTCATTACCGATATCCATACAATCATAGAAAGCTGAGAGCCACAGACTCAATGGCTACCAAGTTCCATGGAGTTGTGTATTTCTTGGTAGCCAGAACCAGCCACTCACTGGTTTTGTTCTGGGTAGGCACAGGAAGACATGTTCAGGTAAAATGTTATCAACTCATTGCTTTTTCTGTAAGAGGAAGTAGCACACCTGTTTGACTCCATGACTGTCAAGTTGAGTGGACAGTGAATTGACGGCATGTTTTTTGTTGTTGTTGTTGTTGTTGTTGTTTTAAGTAGTAAATGAATTTCACCATTCTGCAGTAACGTGGAGAAATCTATGATACTAGACCTATGTCCTGACCTGGAAAAGCTTGGGGACCTTGCATCCAGCAGCTGAGTGTGCCCAAGCCCTGATGGATCTTTGTGAAATTAGTTCCCACTGAGACCTAAAACTGTTGCCAGACTCCAAGACAACCAAGTTAAAGTTATAAGGAACAGGCAAGTAAGGTCAAGTTGTGCCCAGGGGTCACAGACACCTAAAGCCTGGGTCCCTCACACCTAAAGAACCAAGGCAGGAAGCTGCTCTTGGTTTCCAGTAAAGGAAGACATTGTCTGGGCTCCACACATTTGCATAAGTGACAATGAGTATGCTCTCAAAGGGCCACTCTTTGGCAAGGGAGGTAACTCGCTCTGTATTTCACAAGTGTAATTACCCGGGTTCTTGTCCGCATAGAATTCTACCCAAGAGTTGGCGCTTGAACCTATAAAAGGCACTGAGCTCCACTCCCTGTGTCACTGCCATTCACCAGGCCTTAGTCATGAGGATCCATTACCTCCTCCTCACATTTCTCCTGGTGCTGCTGTCACCTTTTTCAGGTGAGGCAGGAGAATGGGGTGGTTCCAAAGGGAAATGAGAAAAGGTCTGTCTGTCTGTCTGTCTGTCTGTCTGTCTGTCTGTCTGTCTGTCTGTCTGTGTGTCTGAGTGTCTGTATGTCTTCCTGCCCCCTCCCACCCCTGTGTCCTTCCCTCACTTTCCTTCCTTCCTCTCCTCCCCTGTCCTGTCTTCTCTTGTTTTTACCTCATCGGCCTCAGTACTTTATTCCCCTTCTTTCCCAACTCTGTCTTAATTGTATTTTGTAGAAAGGTTGATTTTCTTTTCAAATATGTGTGCATGTGCATATCTGTGTATGGGTGTGTACTGAAGCGTACAGTACCCCAGAAGCCATAAAGGGGCATGGGATCTGTCTGGGATGGAGTTATAGGCAGTTGCAGGCTGGCTGATCAGGGTATTAGGAACTGATCTCAGGTCTTCTGTAGAGTCCCTGTGCACTCTCAACTGCTGAATCATCTTTCAAGCTCCAAGGCTGTATTTCATGCTTGACATTAGACAAACAGAATAAAGGGGATAGATAACTAAGAGAAGGGGTTAAAACAAGTAAGAGAGAAAGTGAGGTGGATGAAGCAAAGATCTGAAACTGCATTAAACAGAAATTACAGAGAGAAACACCAAGTTTCATGATGGGTGTGTTCTGGTTACAGAGGAGCATCTGGGTGCCAAGCAATACCCAAACACTGTCTGACATTTAGATGAGTGTGAAGAAAAAAGGGAAGAAGAAATAAAGGAGGGATGAGATGAAAACCTAATATTAGACATTAGAAACTATCAAAAAAAAACAGTTTATACTGTTGACTTTTGTTTTCCATTGTAAGTTATTTAGGCATCAAGTTATCATCAAACAAGTCCTTTACACTGAGCTTTGGGTCAGATAGTTTTGTAAAAAATAGGTACCAGGAAGTTTAAATAAACAATTCAAAATAGGAAGATGGCTCAGTGTGTAAAGTGCTTGCTGTGCAACCATGAGGACCTGAGTCCAGATCCCCAGGACCCATACAGAAGCAGAGCAAGCTGGGACATGTCTGTAATCTTAGCCCTGGAAAGGATTCCAGGAACACACTGGCCAGCCAGAAAAACCTACTCAGTGAATTCCTGGTTCAGTGAGAGCCCCTGTCTCTAAGAATGAGGTGGGGAGTAATTGCTGAACACATTGATGCCAACCTCTGGTCTCTGTATGTGTGTACACACATATACACCCATGTGTACACTCATACCCCACTGACTGCTTCTGATACTCAAACAAAGGGGCTTGTGAGCAGAAACAGAGGCAGGGCTGCTGTGAAGTAGCTGGGGACTCACACAGCATGTTAGCTGAGCTCCTTCCTGGTGGCCCTGGAGCTCTAGTCATTCAGGATGGAGCAGACCTCCCACATTTGGGTCCTAGGAAAGCCAGCATACCTTAAAACATCAGTGCCAGTCTCTTCCAAGAACTAGATTCAGTCCTGATGAACCAGACATCCCAGCCTTGGCTGAAAAGCCCACTGGAATTTTTCAAGATAACAGCACATGGGTGTGTGTTCCTGATCTGATGCTTTCAACTCTAATGTGTGGTTTTTCTTACTCGTTTTTCAGCTTTCACCCAAAGAATCAAGAACCCTGTAACTTGCCTCACCAATGGAGGTATATGCTGGGGTGCATGTCGTGGAAATTTTCGACAGATTGGCACGTGTGGCATTCCTAAAGTCAGGTGCTGCAAGAGAAGATAAATAAGAAGACCAAGAACCAATGAGACAATTTAAAAGCCAGAATCTGTTCCCTCTTGAGGATGTACAAAACTTAAACCCAAATTAAAGTACTTTGCTTAAATACAAAATCTTGCCTCCTCATAGTTGTGTGAGCTTGCTATTTGTTTTCTCACGGGATGAATTGTAAAATCATTGAGGAATCAGTGACTCAAAAGCAAGGCTCTCTTATGCTTCCCGGGTTTATGGACATCTGTCCCTGTACCTGATATGCAGGATAGTTTCCTGCAACCAGCACTCTTCCTGCCCTTCCCTCTGCATTCCTCTGTGTCCTCTAACCTCTTTGTTTCATTCATCCATTCAATCCCAACTCAAGCCAAAGGAGGCAACCCCAGCTTCCCTATGGCTTGTGCCTCTAAGTTAATTGTGCCTTGCATGGTTGTAGTTAGGATTTTACTACACTCTCTGGCTATGAGATCTCTTGGATGTGGGTTTGGCCTTATTTGTTTATGTATTGGACACTGAAGGGAAATATTGCATCATGTGTTATTTTAAGTCAAATGGGCAAGCTGAGTCAGGAAGAGGCTTTCTTATATGTAGACATAAGACACAAGAAACTTCTAATGAAAACAAGACTTTATTGAAAGCAACACGAAGGAAAAGCAGGGTGAAGATGAAAATGAGACTTTATTTTGCAAAGAAGAGAGGTCAGATTCTGTCTTAGGCCAGACCTTTGCACTGGGGGCTTTTATAGTACGATGGGTGGCTCTGTGTCCTGCATGTGCAAAGGTCTCAATTTCTTTACATTCACTCCTCAGTTAATGTGCATATAATCTGTGTCTGTGCATAAAAATTCAGCTCCAGAACAATTCCTTCCATTCTCTAAACTCCAAGACTGGAATAAGAAATGAGATTTTGGAGTAAAACTGTCTCATGTGGACAGATGCAACTGATAAAGGAAGCATGGGCCAAATGATTGATGTGGAAGAAGCAATTACTTGCTGAAGATAAATATAATGCAATGTGTCTTTAAAATAAAAGTGGGGGTCTGGAGACAGAACATAGTCCATGAAGCTCCTGCTGTGCAAGCTTGAAGACCTGAATCTGATCTGCAGCATCATGGAATAAGCCAGGAACAGCAGCTTATCTGTGATTGTGGGGCTGATGGGTGGGATTCTGCTGGGTGCTTTTTCTGGGGATGGATACGTCTAGAGTTAGCTCTGATGGCCCAGAGTCTAAGATCATTTTCATGCAAACTCAGTTGTTTCCAATTCAAGATAATCCTCACAAGAAGGTGGCATATGTGTGGAAAGTCTGATTCCTACATGAAGCAAGAAAGAGACACTCTCTTTAGGGGTATTGTGTAGGTGGAGAAATGAGAGACTTCCAGAATCCCACAGTGAGGGACAATGCTCCTGTCCCCAGCTAATTTCTTCTCTTCATACCTTGACCAACACAGGCTCATGTGCTCTCTGCAAAGGTTCATGGGATCCCGACCCACACAGTGGTCTGCTTTGTAGGATAAGTCACAGGGATAGAGACTCTTGCACAGTGGGATTTAGGGAGGAGGAAGAAGCTACTCTAGGAAAGGGGTAGATGTCTGGGGTGCTGAGGAGACACTGGAAGAGGGAGGGATTTGGGGCAGAGTTGCCTGGGTGCAAGTGCACATTGGAACTTTAGAAACATTAGAAATTTGCCCACATTTACCACTAGGATTTTTAGCTGTGTGGCTGAGAGTGAAGATTAGTCCCAGAAGGCTGGAGAATACCAATTCATGCTATGAACAGAACTTACTGAAACAATACCTGGAAAATGCTTAGTTCCAGACAGTAAGTGATCCAAACCCACAGATATATTTTCATTGCTACCGTTGTTCAGAGGACCAATAGGCATTGGTTATGTCAGGATCCTTAAATTTTGTGTACTCATGTGGCAAATAGATGGATTAGTGTGCATTAGATCCACATGGGTGAGACAAAGAATTATGTTAAGATTTGGTCCATTTTAACCCCTTTTAAGCATCAGTATTCTAAGCTAAATCTTACAGAATTGCCCAAATAAGAAAAATTGTCCCAAATTGCCCCAAATAAGGAAGAAAACTGTCACTTTGGCATTTGCCTGCTGTGCAAAAGGAGCAAGCATCTCTCCTTGTGTGAGGTCAGAGTCTTCAGATGGGTGGGAGGGAATGTCTGCCAACTGTCCCACAACACAGCTATCTATCATTTGTGAGTGACTATGGCATTGGACTTAGTCAGTCCCAGCTTTAGATTCTGCTGAGCTGTGTGAGGTGGTAAGCCAGTTAAGTGCTTTGGGTGTCATTTTTTTAAATTTTTAAAAAAACATTTATTTATTTATTTATTTATTTATTTATTTATTTATTATGTATACAGCATTCTATTTGCATGTAACCCTGCATGCCAGCAGAGGGCATCAGATCTCCATAGATTCCCATGTGGTTGCTGGGAATTGAACTCAGGACCTCTGGAAAAGCAGCCAGTGCTCTTAATCTTTGAGCCATCTCTCCAGCCTGGGTTTTATTTTCCATGAGTCTGTACGGCACACATGCTTTCACTCTCTTCTGCATGAAAGACAGAATTTCCAAATGTTTTCCCAAACACTTCACTATTCCATCAAGAGGTGGCTTCTGGAAGCTTCTCTTGCTTCCCAAGTAGGCAGTTGTCTCTACCGAGAAGGTGGTCTCTGTGTTGCTGAAGAACCTCTGACATCATAAAAGATGGGAATCATCCACCTGGCTCTCTGGCTGCCAGAATACAACACGTGAACCTTTAAATATGGTGTACAAGCCCTGATCACTATGAAATCACTATGTTAGAGAAACCAGGAGGAAGAAGGGGTTGCCAAATGACATGCCCCGCCCCCAGCTTCTCAAGCCCTCTCTGCTCAGTCATGCATCAACATGCATGTGAATTTAGAGAAGATTCTAGGCCCAGCTTCTATCAATTCATTGACATCCTTTCTACCAGACACTTAGTTAAGCTTAGCTAACTCAAGGGCCATGATAGATTTTTAAAAGAACTAGGTTTGAGGGTGATTTGGTCTCCTGTAAAAGTATCCAATTACAAGCTTGTGCATTGGGGTTTATTCTAGAGGGGTTTTTCCTTGGGGCTGACTGTAACTGATAAAACTTTAACCTGTATGACTAATGTTTATTGTAGCGGACAGGGCAAACTTAGATGGCAAAGTAATAGTTTTTAAAATTGTTTTATAAAAACATAATTTTTTTTAAAACCCTCCATTTGAAGCTAGGCATGGGTAATTAGCACTTGTAACCCCAATACTCAGGGAGGCTGAGTCAAGAAGATTACGTATTTGAGACCCTCCTGGGCTGTATATCCTGCTTTTAAAAAATAAGTAAGCCACCAAATCAGGCAACTAATTCTAAGGGGAAGCCAATTCTAAATGGAAACATTTGTGATCCCAAATGTACTCCAAAGCGAGCTGGCCTGTTCTAAGAGTGTACCAGCTAAGATGACTTCAATGCAGCAGTTCTGGGCAGGGATGATGAAAGACAATGCCAGGAATGCAAAGGGCCACAACACCCTGTAGACAGAACACTGTCTATTCAGGAAACTGATTTCCTGGCTTTATCAATGCAAACATTTATTAATACAGTAACCATGAACCATATTGGAGGTCACTAATGACTTGTGGCAGGCACACATCTCTAGGAGACAGTTACTACTATAAACCATATTTACAGTAATACCATGGTAGCAACTGCAGGATACAGTTAACAAGAGACACAGAAATCTCAGAGGGCCACACCCTCATCTCTCTCATTACCTCCTAAAGGCCCACCTTCATTTTCATCATAATTTATTATTTGCCCATTAAAAGAATACAGGAGACAGCCAGACGTTGGTGGCACACGCCTTTAATCCCAGCACTCGGGAGGCAGAGGCAGTCGGATCTCTGTGAGTTTGAGGCCAGCCTGGTCTCCAGAGTGAGTGCCAGGTTAGGCTCCAAAGCTACACAGAGAAACCCTGTCTCAAAAAAATCAAAAAAAAAAAAGAAAAGAAGAAGAATACAGGAGGCAAAACATAGATAGCCCCAATATAAATACAGAGTCTGCACGGGTCTTCACCAGATGGGGTCCTAGGGAGAGGTGGACACATGCCCCCATGCCTAACTCGGAAGCTATCTCCAATTGATAGCCACTTGAAAATGAAAACTTAGATTTCTACAAGAAAGTCTCACTGGGGAAACAAACCACCCTTAAGGGTTAGCCCTCATGACCAGCAGTGGAGGGCCAACAGAAAGCTAAATCAAGCTGGGCGGTGTTGGTGCACACCTTTAATCCCAGCACTTGGAAAGTGGAGGCAAAGGGATCTCTCTGAGTTTGAGGCCAGCCTGGTCAACAAAGAGAGTTCCAGGACAGGCTGCAAAACTACAGAGAAACCCTATCTCTGTAGGAAAAACATGATTCAAGGGCATTTTTAGAAAGTTGTTTGTCTCACAATATTAAGTGAGGGTGGATTTTCCTCCTTTCCTCACAGGTCCTTTGTGTATATATTATGGCTTGGTTTTGGGTTTCATGGGATTCCTATGTGTGCCTTTGCATCTGTATGCATTTCTTATGCCTTTTCTTTGGCTCTTTTCCATGTCTGGTAGTTTCATCATCTTTTGATTTCTTTTTTTATTTTTCTTATTGTACTTTATTTTATTATTATTCCTTAGGTGCCTGTTTGTTTTCTAACGAGACAACAGAGTGTGGCCAATCAGGGTGAATAGGAAAGTGGGAAGGAATCGGGAGGAGCAGGGAAGAGAAAACTGTAATCAGAATGGAAATAATCTATTTTCAATTTTAAAAAGTCTGTCCTTGTTGGGACAGTCCTGACATGACATGACCTACCACTGTAAATGATTAGTAGGATTTCATGTTACACAAACCAAAGTTGTTTTGGGTGGAGTTTTGAGTTTTATTTGTTTGTTTGTTTGTTTTGTTATATTTTTTGGTGGTGGTGGGATCTTTTAAGTCTTTTTTAAATTTTATTAAAAAGTTGCAAATAAACACACACACACACACACACACACACACACCACCACCACCACACCACACACCACACACACACAATCTTCCTGTAGCCATGTCCTTTATTCTTCAAATATTATTTCAGCAAGAAAAAAACTGTTAATAAGTGTAATTTTTGAATGGGTCTAGGCTCAGTATGCCTTATCTTGCTTGAAGAAAGTACATATGTTACATGAATGCTGTATGAGCTACGGGTCATACTTAAGACTCTGGAATATAAAGTTATTTAAGAAAGTTCTCTTATTAAAGTTATGGGTGGTGTTCAAATATTTCATTATATGATAAAGCTATTATGATAATACTTGGAAGTGATGTTGAGTGGTGAATTGTGTTTACAATTCTAATTCCCTTCTAAGATCTTTATCCCACATGGCCAGTTTCCCTGCTGACATTTCACTTACAGAATGAAAGAGACACAGATTGTCTTTATTTAGTTTTAAATTTCTTTCTCATTTTCTGAAATCACTTAGCTTTCATTTGAGGAAACACATGCTGGAGAGTTCCTCAATCCCTTTGCAGTTTATTATGAAATTCCTAGCCATGATCTCAGGCAAAGCTAAACAGTCTTTATGAAGAGGTGTAAATCCACCACCAACTTGCCGCAAGTCCCCATTCCTGGGATGTAGAGATGGAAGATGGCTACATAGTCATGACCAATGAGAAGAGTTGCTGAGCGCTTGAAGAGTCCATTTTCCCACACAGTCACTCAACTATGTGGCAGGAGCAGAAGAACTAAAGTGTTAAAAGGTCAAATTATTTGCAAAACATTGCTCAGTGAGAGGCAAAGCAGTCCCTGAACCCAGGCTTATCTAACTATACAGCTCTTTAACTAGTAGGTAAGAGTTCCTTTTCCTTACCCACTAGAGATACAGCCTACTTCAGAGGTGGAGGAATTTATTTGATGTCTACCTCTCAAGCACCATCTGCCCCTTGATTTCTCAACAGGGATGTGACTTAGTAGTGTAGGGCAACCATGAGTAAGTGAGTAGGGATATTTGGGTGTCTAAATTATCCCCTACTTCCTACACTCCCCCCTTCCACTCCACTGTTTCCTTTACTTCTTAGTGTCTTAGTTCCTTCTAGATGCTACAACAAATAACAGGAGATACTACAACAAATAACAGCACGAGCACACACACACACACACACACACACACACACACACACACACACACTTCATAATCATGGAGGTTGAGAATCCCCTGGTGAAGGTGTCTACAGATCTGTGTAAGGATATGGATCTCTCTAATGAGGGCCCTCATCCTGACACTTTGACTCTCACATACCCCACTCCTTAGGATTGGCAATTCAATACAGAGCATTTCAGGGAACACAAACATGAAGACTACAACACTTCTTTACCTCCCTTCAGCCTCCTTCCATCTGTCCATACATTTACTCAACCATGTATTGATGACTTTGAAGGATCATCAGTATGAAGGCATTTGGTCCTGCATGCATCACCAGCTGTGGGCTGTACAAGATCTGGCTATGGAAAGAGCTGAACCTACATGGGAGCAGCCTTTCCAAATTGGTTAGCACAAAATACTGAAACTGAGTAAGCAACAAAGGGAGTTTCCATTTACAAAATCTCTTCTAATTTTTAGCTTTGTGTGTGTGTGTGTGTGTGTGTGTGTGTGTGTGTGTGTGTGTGTGTGTGTAGGTGTATCCCTATATTCCCAGCACCTGCAGTGAATTACTCCAAGTTCAAAGCCAGTCTGGTTTACACTGCAAGTTTGAGGTAGCCAGTACTACATAGAGAGAAAGAGAGAGACCCTGTCTCAACAAAGAAAATGAAACAAAAACTAAACACAATTCCTTCAAATCACAAGTAGAAATGAAACCCATTGGGAAATCCTGACTTACTATAAACCCCATGTAGGGGAATTTTTTTGCTTGCTTCTTTTTTTTTTGAGACAGGTTTCTGCCATGTGTATCCCATGTTGTCCTGTAACTCACTGTATAATCCAGACTGGCTTCAGCTCACAATCCTTCTGCCCTTTACTTCCTAAGTATTGGAATTAGCCGGCATACTCAGCTAAAAGCTTGTTTTTGACAGAGGACAATTTGGGTTTGTATTCATGAGTTCATAGAAAAGACATCTCTGGTCACACTGTGGTCCTATTTGAACATCTGCACTAAGAATATAAGTTTTCTTTCCAGCTGAATCATTCCAACTCCCCCAGATCACCTGTTGCCATTGCCGTTGATGTGCCCTGAAGAAGGAGTCTCCACCGTCGGACACTGCCACTCCCTCCTTCCAAGCCAAGAACTCACTTCTTACCATGAAGCTGCTATTTCTTCTCTTTCTCCTTCTTATATGTCTTATTCAGACAGCATCAGGTAACCTGTGGACCCACCCAGATGGGGTAAATGGTAGAAGACTTTGGAGCCTGAAGTAAACCAAACAAACTTACAATTCAATCATAAAGTGAAATATATACTAATAATATCATGACAAAGCTATAAGAAGCATCACACATCTAGTCACTGGTGCTGTCAACTTGACAGAAACATCACCATGTAGATGAAGGGCCTCTAGGTATGTCTGTGGGAAGGTTATCATGACTACATTAATTGACATGGGACAACCCAAGTGCTTTCTGGGCAGTGGATCCTGGACTGTATCAGAGTGGAGGATCTCCTCTGAGCACTAACACACATGCATTTGCCCTTCTCTGATTCTTGCCTTCAAAGCAACATGGCCACCTCCCCATAGTCCCTGTCCATATGACTTGACAGCCACGATAGACTGTCCTTTGAACTGTGAGTTAAAATGAAGGCTGCTGTATCCCTTAAGTTGCTTTTGTTGCAGTGATGGAGAGAAACTAAGACAGTGTATGGAAATGTTTTACTTTACAAAGAGAAGCTTAAGGAAAATTAAAGAAAGACTTCCCTGAGGTCTTCAACTGGTAATCACTAGTAATTGTGACAGACAACATATTGAGTGTGTCTTTCTTTTGGATTACAAAACATTTCCATGGGAGTGAAAACAGCAAAACCAACGCAAATAGTAACAGTGGTCAATGATCACGACCACTTTCTCTCCCCACACATCACTTGTTAAAACTTTAAAATTTATTACTATTTCATTTTTCACTTTTGATTTTTGAAAAGCCTTGCAAATAAATAAAAATATCACACATTAGTATTAACCAGACCCAAGGTCTAGACAACTCAGTGAACTTCATACAGTTAGAATGGTCATTCAGAACAGAAGCTGTGGAACTTCACATTAAATCTTACACCTTCAGTATTGAGTATATTTCATGCACTTAGACATTACTGAAACCAACCCCCTCACACACATCAGGATTAGAACTAGAAAAACAATTCGCTTTATATTGTCTTCCATGTCTCATGTCTACCACCTACATTCAGTCCTTTCTCATCCCCTATACTCAGTCTCATTTTTTCTATTCTATTCCTGTTCTACCATACTCCATACTCACATGTACATTTCCACACACACACACACACACACACACACACACACACACACACACACACACACACCACGAGACACAGATAGATTCTGCATAAAAGAGAGAATGTGTATTTCTTTCTTTTTAAGATTGGGTCTCACTTAACATTATCTATTCTAAGTCCATCCATTTTCCTGAAAGTTTTTAGATTTCACTTTTAATACCATTAAATATTACATCTGTGGAGGAGGCATTAGATTCCCCAAACCTAGAATTACAGGCAGTTATAAGCAGACTGATTTGGGTCCTGGGAATCAAACTTGTGTGTTCTGAAGAATGGTTAGTGTTTTTAACTGCCCAGCCATCTCTCTAACCCCACATGTCTCCTTTGTCAGACAAACTTTTCAGATATCATGAGCTCTGGCTGGCTGGCAATTAGTTTTGTAGACCAGGATGGCCTCAAACTCAGATCAGTCTGCCTCCTGAATTCTAGGACTGAAGATGTACACCATCATGCCACAACACAGTCTTCTAGCATATGACAGCTACTTTACTCTTTGTAGCAATAGTTATAGAGTAAATAGTTTATAGCTATGATTTAGAAATGTTGTAACTTCCTTCAAGCCAGCGAGATTATACATGATGAAATCTGTAAGTCAAATAGTTCATTCTTCAGATAGCACTATTAAATGCCCAACAATCTTAGATAGTAAGTTTATTATGCTATAGATAAACAAGGATTGCTTTTTGGTGTGAATATGGCCCATGCAATGTTTGAGGTGTGCTTTTTCTAAAACCTTAACACTTACCTACCTGAAAATTCAGATTTAATGAAGTGGTCTCATTTTTACCTGGTGATATTGTATGGAGAAAACTATTTCCCAGTCTTGGCATCTTAAAAGAACAAAAGGATTCATCCTCTCTGAGGTGCCAATTCACTCAGGCCACAGGGGTGCTCTGATCACTACAATCCATCAGTCCAAGCTCAGGAAATAGCTACCACCATGGGAAGACCAGCAAGGAGTTTCACACTAGTATTTAAGAACCCTGAAGACATAGTTTCCATTCAAAATACCCTGGCTGGGCTCATAGCTGTATGTACTTAGGCAAAAGATAAGACCATCATATTTTTGTGTCAACACAACAGAGAGCCTAACTGTTTTTGAACAGCCTAATGGAAGAGAAAGGGGGAAGGGAATCTGGACAGATGATTGATAGCTTATAGTTGATAACTGGATGATGGGTATCCACGGATGATAGATATGGTTGTGGAGGTGACTACAGATAGAAGCATATGTCTGTCTCTGCATGCTTGTTTTCTTCCCACAGTGGCAGTGTAGCTTTATTTAGAACCCAAGTCTCTTATTCCCAGTTGGTGTGCTCTCCATCACAACACAGCACATCAAAAGGCCACAGGCTTTGATAGAAACAATATTCAGTATTAACTCATGGCTGTCCTTCACTCTTTGGCTTTCTTGATTTTGGGGAAGGATTCAGGTTCTCCCTGCTCTCACCCTACTCTCTCCATGGCTTCATATCTTCCTAGCCTAACTCACTGGGACATAGGACAGCTGACATTCATTAAGTGCCACTGCATCTCAGCGTATGAAATAACATGCACACCTCACCAAATATGGGAGGCACAGCACTCAACCATCAGCAACACGCCACTTCTGTCATCCACTTGCTATGTATTGCCAGATATTTGATGCATATTAGTAAAGTTTTGAGTGTCTAGTGGGGGGCACTTTAGGAAGGATATAGAAAGAACCAGTGCAAGGAAGTGAATTACACTCATGTTCTTGGAACACAGGCATGTGAGGTGTTTTCTCTGATTCAAGCATCTTCAGATGAAAATGAAACTAAGTTATGGGAATCTCAGGCTTTCTAAGGGACCAGGAAAAAAAATCCCAAAATATCTAAAACCAAGCCCCCATGGATACATGGCCTCAGTTACCACAAGTCACCTCTGTCTTTCTGGTAAAGACAGCCACAGAGAGTGAGTGAGTGAATGAGTGAGTGAGTGAGTGAGTGAGTGAGTGACTGACTGACTGACTGACTGACTGACTGAGAGAATAGGCATGGCTGTCTTCCAGCTGTCTTGTTCAACAACACTGAAATGCAGACTGCATACATTATCAGATGAGCCCCCTCATCTAATTTTCTTTGTCATAGTCTGCCAATGAGAAAATAGTGACCAGCTCAGGTCACACCTGAGCCATCAGAAAGTTAGTGTGGAGCTTGTGGACTGTTTTGCCCACCCCTTGCTAGGAATGATAAATTATAGCATTTTGGTTTTAATGAAGCTTTATTTGTTTCCCTTTTCTTACAGGGCGCAGAAGAGATATGAGATTTCGTCAGTGTGAGAAAATGGGTGGCCTTTGCAAGTATCAGAAAACCCATGGATGCTCCATCCTGCCTGCAGAATGCAAAAGTCGGTACAAGCACTGCTGTAGGCTTTAATGGCAGCTCACTGACTTGTGTGGTTCATTGTGAGAGTAGGCACCTGCTCTGATTTCCATGTAATAAAGACATCACAATGTACATGAACTCTTCCCAATGTGTAAATTTTTAGTGAATTGCCAATGAACTTGAAAAGAGAGAGTGTGCTGTGCCTGTCTGTGTGTCCTTTATTTTTCTGAAACAGGGTTTCATATGTCCCGGGTTTAATTCAAATTATGCAGCTGAGGATGAGCTTTAAACCTCCTGATCATGCTGCTTCCACCTCCCAAGTACTGGGATTACTGTCATCTTCTCCTTGTTTGGCTCTTTACTAAGCCCACCTCCAGCCATTGACACTACCTTAATCCATACCCTAAGACCCCAAATACTTGCATTTAAGTTGTGTAGTGTACTAACTGTCTTCTGTGTTTCTACCCTCTGTCTTTTAGTCCTTTCACATCACTAAAATTGCTTCAGTGTTACTTTATAGTGCAAAAGATAAATTAACTGCATGTAGCTTAGCTTGGAAAGTTCTCCAAGTGTCCACTATTTCTTTGCAAGTTTTGTCTCTCATGTTTTAGTTCCCAAATTCCCTCATATTATGATGGGAGTCATAACTCTGGCATGAAAGCCATGCATATTTTCCCTTCAAGTCAGAAAATATTCAGATCACTTCAACTTTGCCTGTATAGCCCTTAACATTTGATATTCTGCTCAGGCATGACTTACCAGGCAGATATCTTTATCTACCCATGGATGCAATTTCTGTGCCTATAAGTTTCTTATTAAAGTTGACTTTGAATTTTAACTCAAGTTCACTAGAACCTTTTGATATAGAGGAAGTACTCGATGGTTGTTTTAAAATTACTAAGTAAATGAAGAGAATGACACAATGAGGTCTTGGTGTCTGGTATAATTCAGGAAGGACAGGAAGTGTAATTCCTCAGGTCATGGTTCTTACACAGCAGAAGCTCCTGCCAGGGCACAACCCTGGCATTCGAGTACACTTTGTTTTCCTCCTCAGGCACACACTTATGAGAGAGTCACAGTAATGGTGCTCATAATCTGTAGGAGAAAAATTAGCTGTTTTAGGTAGAAATTCTCAAGCGCCCTGGGCAGGAATTGATACCATCCAGTAGGTTCAGGATCCCATGGACTCACTGTTGATGGAGGTGCCTTCCTTCTGTATCGAATCTTTCCACTCAGTCTCTCCTTCCTGTTTACAGCCTGCAGGAGCTGGTTATAAATTAAAGTATTTGTGTTGTAATTTAAGGATAAGACTCTTCCAATACTCCTATAGGGCCAGAACATCATGGAACATGAGCTCCTTCATGGAACTGCTCAAAACTGCTGTTCTGAAGCAATGTATTAAGACTTTATGCTTTCATCATTTCAGGACAGGATACCATTGAGGATATAATACAACAGCTTGTTTCCAAAAAGGGATTGTGTTGACACATATATTAAAAGGTGTGTATATGCTGCAAACTTTTTGAGGCACAACAGCATTCCAAAATCTATACACAATAATACAGGTTTATATAACCACGTTTGTTAGTAGACATCCTAAGAAAATGAGATTGTAGATCTAAACTAATTTTTGAGCCAAGAACTCAGAATGACAGACACAATCTGAGGTGGGGGTTTCCTGTCCAGAAAAGCAACATGCATCCTATTCAAAGTTGGATCTGGCTTCTTGCCTGCCTCTCACCTGGAGGAAAAGGAAAGCTCATACTGAGTGCAGCAGCTACAGTGCTCCCTGGGGTCTGGCTTGTCTATTATGAACAATTAGCAAAGGCTTCAGAACCCAAACAGCACATGTCCCAGAGGCGACTCTCACCAGCCTCAGAGGAGCTTACTGGGCTGTGCCCATCATATGTGAAAACCAATACTAGGGATGAACGCAAGATCTATCCATCCCATGTCATCCTAACCTGGCCTCAGTCCTATTTCCATGAACCAGTTTGGCACCATTCTATCCAACACTGAAAAGGAAGTGGCTAGAACTATGTTGATAGTAGAGACACTTCACACACGTACCTATCATGGGATCCTGTGTCATTATCGCTCCATTGTAACTCAGACACTTTGTAATAGTACATCACTCTTCCTGGGCACAACTCACATCTACTCAAATGCTAGAAGCTGGTGTCTCATCATGGAAACTGCTGAGTGCTCTCCCTGTTCCTCCAAAGGAGAGCACCTCATAGTTTATCACCTACTTGAGTAAGAATTGGCTCAGAAAGCAAATTGAGTTAGGATCACTGTTTTGAGTAACACAACAAACATTATTACTTCTTCCTAGTGGGTCATTATTAGAAAACTACTTTTTGGTTGAAAGAGGATACTTCTCCAACCTGCTCACAACTTCTGAACTCATTGCCTAATGGTCTTCTGATGTGGTACCTTAGAAATCACAATGGACCCTTTAACAGGAAGTAAATAATTTTGTGAGTTTAAATAAAGGGCTAATATTTGGAGGAAAGGGTAAGGGAGCAGGAGGACTAAGGGGGGTGTATGACACCTAACTTGCTGTAGGAGGCCAGGTCCAAATTCTCAATAACCCCCCAAGGAGTTAAAGTTCTCTGAAGACTTTAAGCTCTGCTGTGACCCAGAGCCCCATACCATGATGTAAGGAATAGTCAAGGTTGAAAGCTAAACCTGTCTCCCCTTCATCCCAAACCTGGTGCTCTTTTGTCAATATAGGGAACACAATTGCCTATGCTTCCTCCAAAATGCCAAGGCTCCAATTGTTTGGATGTCCTTTTCAAAAAAGCTCTAAGTTATGTCTTCCTGGCTTTGCAGTCAGACCTTACACGGGATGTCTCCAAATCATAGCTGATGGTGAAGTCTACTGCTCTTCAAGGCTATATCAGTACAGGGACAATAAGAGATTTGGTAGTATGGTTGACAAAAGTCCTCTTCCCCTTCTTCCTGGGTTTCAGCATTTCTTCACAGTTCAAGGTTAGTGTGAAAACATGATTTGTAAGACCTTAAATATTCTTCTGTCCTACACTGATTATGACCTCCATAAAAGTATCCTTCATGAAGTTAACTCATTGGAACTCAGTAAAAAGAGACTAGATAGGTCTTACCTGCCATGACTTGAGAGATAAAGAGGAATACTGAGATAAGAAGGTAAAGCAATTTCATGGCACCAGCTTCAGAGGAAAATGCCTTCAAATCCCTGGAAGAGATAAACAGTGACAATGCTGAACAAAATATAATGTCCTCTTTTACAGGTTTAGTCAGCATGAATGAACGTGGAAGTGATGCCCGATTGTGCCAATACTGCCAGTTAAAATGTACAACAAACAATGGATAACCATGAAGTTAAGAATACTTGACAACATTTGCTGCATAGCTGAGGGTATTTCTTTTCTTAGCACCTAAGGGACCAAGGATTAGGAAAGAACAGGAACAAAGATAGTAACAGTGAAAATGACAAAATTGATGATGTTCTACAAAAAACCCTCAGTTTGTGGCACTGTTTTTAGCTACTCTCGTGTAACTATTATGATCTTCTTCAGCTCAAAATCTATTTTCTCAGCAATCAGAATATTCTCCAAATGCCTAAAGAGAGTAAAATACCTTTGCTTACCTCTTAAGATCTTCGTTATGGGGGTCTCTTCTCTGAGGATTCAGTTGTTCATGTCTCTAGAAATATATGACATCCACCCCATGCCCAGTCACTGTTGGCTCCCTTTCCATTTGTTCTCAGTGAGGGGTGGCCTTACCCACCTGGACCAATGAGGGTTGTGAGATACCTCTGGAATGACCCTGCTGATTCAGGCATCTCTTCAGATGATGGTGGCGCTCCATGATAGACAGAACCTTAATGTTCTTGGCTCTTGCACTGCTAAGCCTAACACAGTCCATGGATACATGAACGATGAGGGGCTTTCCTCAATGAATCATTGTAAGAAGTGTCGGGAAGTGGCTGACTCTGCTTTTTGAAGGTCTTTTCTTCTTCTCTTTTGGTTATCCGTTTTTCTCATTCATCTATTAGGAACACATTATGATTTTCTTATAGTTAAAAAGAAATTTCTCTTGATTGGCATTGACACTAACCCCAAGGAATTAAGAGAAAAAATAAATTTAGAATCACAAGACAAAACAAAGAACAGAATCCCAATATCTAGTCCCTCCTTTTACATAATTACCCTAAAAGTAAATGTATTAGACTGCCTAATCTAGACATGGGGCAGCTGAATGTATAATAATATGCCATTCACAGAGCCTCACTTTGTATTTTGGACATTTGTTGGCTGATAGCTAAGGAATGAAAACATCGTGAAAATGGTAATAAAAATATAAAAGCAAAATGGCTATACTTAAACATCAGACCAGCTAAACTTTAAGTAAAAATTATCATGAAATTCAGAGAAGGCTATTATATAATGATAAAGTGACTAGTGAAAGAAGATATGATAATTATTTTAAACATTTGTGACAACAAAATTAGAGTATCTAGATATATAAAGCAAATATTGGCAGAACTGAAGAGTCATGTGCTAATAGTAGCAGAGTACGATACCCTGTGTTCAACAATAGACAGACCAATAAGAAAACATTGGTCTTAAAGAACACTGTAGAAAAAATGGACCCAAAAGACACACAGAGACATTAGAGCCACTGCCAGAATAATACACACTTTTCAAGTACAGGCAGATCATTTTCCAGCACAGACCACATGTTGGCTGACGAGTCTTAAGATTCAAAAGACTGAAATAATAACCTTTGTCTTTTCTGGCCACAATGAATAAAAACTAGAAACCAACAACAGAAGGAAAAAATACAGATCTATTGAAATTAAAACACACTTGGACAACCAATAAATTAAAGAAATTACAAAACATGTTTGGACAATAAAAAATGAGAAAACTTTTTTTTCTTTTTGGAATACAGAAAAATAAATTCTAAGTGGGAAATATATAACTTACACCTATATTATTCATGAGAATTATCACTATTATTATTACATTAAACAATTCTAAATTATATTTTTGGTTAATTTATTG